TACCAATATTGGTTGTTGAGAATTTAATTTTTAAGCTGCAAAATCTACCTCGCAAAACTTTGTGCGAAACCTAATATATTACGGAATGTGAATTATATATATTTGTTATCACTAAGTTTTGTTTATTATTATATTGGGGTGAGTAATAGCAAAAATGTCTAATTTAGTAATTTATCTAAAACGTTATTAAATGCAATAAAATGAATGAGGATATAAATTTATAAAATATTAAACATTTAATATTTAGTAGTTAATTAATTTTATTAAAGAAGTTTTAGAGCATAGATATACTGTATATTTAATTTATTTCGCAATAATATTTTATATTTTAATGTATCACATTGTGACATTTAAAAGTTAATTATTTTAATATAGCAAGCGACCCACTGATAATAATCAATGGCCGCGTAAACACCAACGCAAATACCCAGCTGAAAACGGAAGTGTGCAAGGCATATCCCGTAAGTTGATATTTTGCACATACTGTAATTTAAAAATTAAACTTTTAGATCTTTAAGATATTTATTATATCAAGTTTATTAATTTAAAATTTTTTAATTTACAGGTTGATCAACGCCCTGATACCCCTTGTTCGGGAGTAACAGGAACACCTGATACTACAGATCCCACCCCGGTCCCAAGTGACACGGTTAAGGTGCAGGTGTACTACTCGCCATTAAGTCAAAAATCAGTCGATTTTATTAAATTGAACACGAAAGATAATAACAAGGGCATTTACGACCTATTGACGCCTGGTACACACGGAAATGCTAAATACAATATCGAGTTTGATTATATTCCGTGGGGTAGAGCGACTAGAATTCCCGACGCTCAGGGTAAAAATGTCTATACCTGTCCGGAAGGAGACACCGATTGTCTGGGCACCAGATTGCATGTAAGTTTAACGGCGAATGACCTATTAGTTTTGTTACTTTTTCTAGTAAAAATTTAATAATATTTTAAATGGAGAACCTAAATAGATTAATTAATAGTTAATTAGATGATTTAATAAATCACCATGTAAACATATTATATATATGGAAAGGCTTTTTTATTACATTAATTAATTTTTTAAAATTTAAAGAGATAATTTAGCTTGGGAAAGTTAATTTGGTTGATACCATATTACAGCTAGGACTGATTTCAATTCTAGATTATCTAACTGCATTATAGGCCTGCATAGCACGTAACCACGTGACCCAGTACGAAAATCACCACGAATTCTTCATGGTTCTTTGCACGGCTACCGGCGCTAACTGGAAAACAAACCCCTTGGGGGACGTCATAACTTGCGCCCGGAATGTGAACGACTTGCTGGATGACGGCCCTAGCCTTGAAATGTGCGCCAAAAACACCAATGACAATAGGTACCTCGATCAAACACTGGCCGCCACGGATATTGTGTACCCGGCAATTACCGACAGTAAGTAATTGTTTATATATTAATGTTGCAATCAATAAGTATATGACCGTGGTAAGGGATATGGGACGTGGATGAAAAAAGGTTTTGTTCAAGGCGTACATAGAACATTTCGATATCTTATATTTATGGGTATTAAGCAGTGGTGTGGGTAAATTAATTTTGTAATATTAATATTTTACTCGCATGCTAGGTAATTTGTATTTTTAAAAGCCATAATTTGAGCAAGGATTACCAAATAATTTAGCAACATTTTAGCAATAAGTTTGTTAACTGGGATATAGTTTTAAATGTTTGAATATTTTAGTTATTTAAATTAAACAATATAGTTAATTAATACACTTGGTGGTTATCATGCAAAAGAAGGACATTTATTTTGCACTGCAAACTGTATACATAACCTAATCAATGCTTTCAATAATGCCACATAATGTTTCTTAGTTATGAAAAGTATTGATTAGGTTATGTATACAGTTTGCAGTGCAAAATAAATGTCCTTCTTTTGCATGATAGCCACCACTTAATAGTAATAGCAAATTTTTTAATTAAATAAAATTAACAATCTTAACAATATTAATTTGTTTCTATAGCTAGCGACCCATTGGTTATCATTAATGGTGTGCGCAATGACAAAGCTCTGACAGACTTACGCACTGAAGTGTGCAACGCCTACACTGTAATATTAATATTCAAAATCTGATCATGGTCATTTCTAAATCAATTTATATTAAATATTATACAGGGTGCTAGTAGACCAGCTGTAT